TATAGTAGCCCAAATCTGGAAATAACCCACCTACCCAGGAACAGGTGACAAAATGAAGAAGCTATCGTACATATACCTAATAAGAAAAGATGACGCCATGTAAGTTACTGAAGCATGGATGAATTTGAAGAGTAATGCTCAGTGAAATGAGTCAAGGGAGAGTGACAGATACAGAAGGATCTACTTACATGTGGGATATAAAGGAACAGAGTAGAGGAATAACTAATGCCCAAAGGCAATAGAAACAAAGAGCATAATGAACCAATCCTCAGAGGAAAACTGGCCACTATTGGGATAGTGGGACTAGGTCAGGGCAGGGACTACCATGACAATGAGAGCGAGAAGTGCTCCCCCCCCCCCCCCACGAGGATTTGGTGCTGAAAGGAGATAAAGTGGTATGCACTATGAGTAACTGTACTATAAACTACAGTGCCTGATTGAAAAAAAAAAAACAAAAACAAAAAAAAAAGAAAAAGAAAAAGGTGGCTGCCACTGAGGCAGGTTGCAGTTCAGGGGATGTGGGGACACTGGCGGAGGATTGGTATTAGAACACTATTCCTGAATACCTTAGCAACGCTGCAGTCTATGGTGATTCAAAGACTTTTTTTTAAGAAGAAAAAAAATTGAATAAACTGGGGCTGGAGTGATAGCACCGTGGGTAGGACATTTGCCTTGCATGCAGCTGACTCGGGTTCAATTCCCAGCATCACATATGGTCCCCTGAGCACTGCCAGGAGTAATTCCTGAGTGCAGAGCCAGGACTAACCCTTGTGCATCGCTGGTGTGAGCCAAAAAGAAAAAATAAATAAACTTCTCTGCTTGGTGGATATGGGTCTTGCCCCCAATTTCTAACCAGGGCAGTCGAGTGTGGTAAGAGGCTCTCTAGACTAGTCAACTCTCGTGAGTGTAGGTATGCTCTCTGCCCAACTGAATGTGGGACAGCAAAGGCTGGAAATAATATAAAATCTGAGAGGCAACAAGTCCAGGTCTGAATCAAATGAATGATCTTTAAACTCCGATTCTAGGGGGCTGGGGCGATATCACAGCGGGTAGGGCGTTTGCCTTGCACGCAGCCAACATGGCCGACACAGGTTCGATTCCCAGCATCCCATATGGTCCCCCGAGCACCACCAGGAGCAATTCCTGAGTGCATGAGCCAGGAGTAACCCCTGAGCATCGCCGGGTGTGACCCAAAAAGCAAAAAAAATAAAAAAATAAACTCCAATTCTACCTACAAAAAATTAGCTAATTTATTTAAGAGACAGTAACCACACAATTGTCACTGTCCTCCCGTTGTTCATCGATTTGCTCAAGCAGGCCCAGTAACGTCTCCATCATGAGACTTGTTGTTACTGTGTTTGGCATATCGAATACGTCATGGGTAGCTTGCCAGGCTCTGCTGTGCCGGCGAGATACTCTCAGTAGCTTGCCGGGCTCTCCGAGAGGGGCGGAGGAATCGAACCCAGCTTGGTCGGGCTGGCTGCATGCAAGGCAAACGGCCCTACTGCTGTGCTATTGCTCCAGTCCACCTGCAAAAAACGGGGCTAGTAATGCGTAGATTTGATTGGTGAAGGAATAAGATGTATAAAAATTAGCATGAATTCTAAATGGATGTCAAATGTTCTCTCCATATAGCTAAAGAAACAACTTGTTTAAGTCTTCGCTTTAGATCTCAACATTCTGATCCCTTATATATTCGAGAATCCTCTAGCACGGGCAGCTTCCTCCGAAAGGAAGAAGAGGACAGATGAAAGCAGATGCTACAACTGTGGACAAGTGCAGTGGACCGATGGCCGGCACCTTTTCCTCTCAGCGTGTTTCCAAGGTGAGCACTACTGTACCGCAGGGAGGGGAGAAGCTGGAGCAACCCAGAAGAATAGTGAAGCCTCGGGTATAACTGGCGGGAATTTACTGTTTTGCTCATTTAAAAGAGGTAGATTTGGTGGGGGGAGGGGGAGGGTAGTGAGAGGGGTTTTTTTCCCCTGAAAAGAAGGCAGTAGGCCAAATACATTAAAATAAATCTCTGCTCTTAAGTCAACAGAACAGCAATTTGCTTTTCTGCTGTGCTTACATGTTTACACCCTTTAATAATGTGAAGCAAGGTGCAATTGTGAGGGCAAAACTAATGCCATGACAAGCGGCAGTTAACATTAAGTCTTAGCTAGGCCTCAGTTTCTCTTTCCCCGGAGCAGGACTTGCAGTTGCTGGTAGACTCCCAGTTGAGTAATGCGCCTAGATAAGGAATTGGGCAGTTGGGTCTGGCCGATCATGAGGGGTCACTGTACCCCCCCTTAGAAACTGTTGCTAATCATTGCCTAATTGCTGACCACCATTGGAATAGGGCCGATGCTAAAAATAGACCCGTATATAAATTGCCTCCTAACTCTGAATCCTAGATAAACTGCTGGTGATTTGGAGTCGGGGTCCTTGTCAAGACTCCACTGTGTTGTATGAGATTTGGACCCTACACTGTGTTGCATGAGAGTTGGACCCTAGCTCGAGCTAGCGCTGGCTTGGGTTAGTCATAAAGTTCCTTTGCTTTTGCATTATCGTGTGTGGACTTGGTCTCTCCACAAGTGGGGATCTGAAACCCGGGCAAGACACGATGGCGTCATATTTGTGGTAAATCCTTACGATGACTGTTCACAGTCAACTCCCAGAGTCCCGTTCCATCACCCTTACACAAAGGAGGGCAAACATGAGGCCACTGCTTGGTCACTGGAGGCCCAGTAAGTTTTTGTCATCTCTCCATGTACTTCTCTTACAGATATGAGGCAGAAAAGAAAAACCACTTCACAGGTGCGTATTTCTTTCATTCATACACAAAAACCTGAATCCTAAGACATTTTTAAGAACCATCATGAATTTACAACGCTTTCCAACTATAAAGGGATTTTTATAGGTTCTCTCAAATTTCCCCCATCGCTGCAACAAAACTGAGACATGCTTTGTGATTTCTCAACTAAATCTACTTAAAGCATCTTTCCAACTCACTTCATTCCAGTGAATCTGCATATAGAAAGTATAGCTAAAAAGACTCATCTCCAATTTTAACTTTCTCAGATGTCATGAACTTATTATTTTCTTAAAATTAGAGGCATTCAAATCAGTACCACATTGTATGGCTGAAACCCAATCATGAACAACTTTGTAACTGAGGATCTCACAGTGATTTAATAATAATAAAATAAAAATACTGAAAAGTAAATAAAATTAGTTCCACTGAACCAGCTTAAAAATGTGAGTTTATCTTTCAAGAGTGTATCTCCCCTTCCTCATCCAATTAACTTTAATAACTTCTTGGGGTCAGAGAGTTAGTACAGTAGGTATGGCACCTGACTTGAATGCAGCTGTCCCAGGTTTGATTCCCAACCCCCTATATGGCCCCCCATGCATTACCAGGAGTAACTCCTGAGTGCAGAGCCAGGAGTAACCCCTGAACATCTCTGGGTGCTTCCTCTCGCTCTGCTCCACTCCCCCCCCCAAAATAATAGAGCTTCCTCTACCATTACTTTTCTGAATTACCAACAAGCAAGACAGAATAAACAGAGATATAATAAGTCCAGAGAGAAAAATACATGCAAATCGGATCAATGCAGAGATATTACTCCCTGCTTCCCTTCCCTTCAAAGCAGCTTTAGAAAAGGAAAAGATTTTTTTAGGGGGGGCAGAGCAATAGTGTTGGGGGTAGAACATTTGCTTTGCATGTGGCTGGCCTGGGTTTGGTCCCGAGCATCCCATATGGTCTAACAAGTCCACCAGAAGTGATCCCCAAGCTGGCCACAAACCAAAATGAAAAAAAAAATTTTTTTTTTCAGGAATCAGTTCTTTGCTAAATGTTTATTCAAATACTTAAAGCAGACAAAGAATTCACAAATAAGGAACACAAACAGACAAGAGCTTTTACAGGTAACAAATCTCCACTCACCTTGGACTTGTTTTTCACAACGTATATTGCAGTATACAATATCCTTAGGTAGTAAACCAGTTGTAGGGAACTATATTTTGATGAACAAAACTAGGAAAGGCTTGGGCAGTTCAGGAAAAACAGCTCAACCCTGTTTGGCCTTAACTCACCCTCCAGACCAGCTAATATCCTACCGGCAGCAAAAGCTGACAAGGCATCCACTGGCATCAGTGTGATTGGCTCAGCTTTGTCACACTCAGCAAACAACACGGGCCTTTTATTCAAATACAGCAGCACCTCAGGAGGGAGGTAAAGACCATTTTTTAAAATGTGTCCAAAGAAGCATCCTTTACACCCTATTTATGAAGGGCGAGTGTCTGCTTTGGATCACGAATCTGGAATCACCATAAAGTGGTGCTTTCCAAACCCAACTCAGGGAAAAAAGCTTCAGGGGTGGTGAAGAGAGGGGGGCTCTCAGGAAAATGCCAGGGGCTGGGGTTCAAGGACCATCACACACATAAGCATGTGTCAGGGTGTGTAAGGGTGCTGGGTGCACACCCCGGTTGGGTCTCCAATCAGATACACACACACACATGAAATGCCAAACCAAAGTAGAAATTTCATACCAATATCCTTCACCCAACTTCAACCTTTAACTCGTGACGGGTCTCCTTTCACTCCATCCTCGCCTACCTCACATCAGTAAGCAGCAGAGCTCCCCAAACTGGACTGTTTTGCAGCCAATCATGCCCCTAGAGTTCAACGAGGATTTCAAAGAGACAAGGCTTTGCAAAATACCGCAAGTATGCTATCTGTCCTAAAGCATCGAAATGCATGTCTTTAATACCACCAAGTCACTAAAATAAATATCCTCCGAGGCCTCTCATCGATTATCGATCTGCTCTCGAGCATCTAATCACCCTACCGTTTTCATTTTTCATTTCGGGGCCACACCCTGCCGTGATCGGAGCCTACTCCCGGCTGAATTTAGGGATCCCTCCTGGCGGTGCCAACGTGGCACCAGGGACTGAACCTTGCTCAGCGCGTGCCAGGGGACCGCCGCGGCCGCCGTCCTACCCCTCCAGCCTCTTACCGTTTTGTGACTGTTTTTTTCCAAAATTCGAAAAGTCAAAACGGACAGCAGTGAACCAACCAGTTCTGCTCCCGACGCGTTCACCACCTCTGAGCTCAGCTACCGGGTCCTCGACAACTCTGATCGATGGAGATTCAAATGTGTGGGTTCACCCCTCTCTCCCCCCACCCTCACACCCCCGGGTGCGCACACACACACACACACACACACACACACACACACACACACTCGCGCACACAGACGTCGGCGCGCACACAACAACATCCACACGCGCACACACACACATGCACACGCACGCACCCAGCCTCACAAGCCCACAGCCGCACGCGCGCACGCATGCACACCTGCACACAGACACGCACGGACACAGACTCACACACGTGCACACACACACACGCACGCACACAGACGTCGGCGCGCGCACACAACATCCACACGCGCACACACACACATGCACACGCACGCACCCAGCCTCACAAGCCCACTGCCGCACGAGCGCACGCATGCACACCTGCACACAGGCACACACACACACACGCGCGCGCGCACCCACCTGCGTCCGCGGAGCGCGCGCGCGCGCGCGCGCGGGCCCTCGGGCGGGGTCGCCGCCGCCCCCCGAGCCCCGCGGGAGGGTCGCCCGGCGGCGCGTGAGGACGTCTCGGCCCCTCCGCCCGCGGCCCCGCGACCACCTGGCCCGTCCGCGCCGACCCCTCGGCGGCGCCGCGCCCGCCCGCACCTGCCGCGCTCCCAGCGGGGCCCAGCAAGACGCGCCCAGGGCGGCGGCGCCGAGCAGGAAACGCGGCCCGGACGCGCCCCGGGGCGACCCCGGTGGCCGCCGCGCGCTACGGCGCCGCCTCCTGGCGGGGCGGGGGACTGGCGGCGGCGCCGGCGCGGAGCCGCCCCCCTCCAGGAGTCCCTGTGCTCCCAGGCTCCCAGGCTGGGCAGGGGTCCTGGCCCTATGGACTCTGGAGAGTAGCCCTCGGCAGTTGCGTCCAAGACGGTTTACTGGGAAATGCACGAGCTGGAAATGGGCCCTGCGGTGGCTGCCCTTGTTCTTCTATTCATTTCGGTGTTTCAGTTAAAGTCTAGGAGATTCACTCTCTGGCTTGGAGGCCAGTCACGCATGCTAGGGGAAAGGGCAGCTCCAATAGAGGTGGGAGCACCAAGTAAAGGGTGTTGGGAGGATCCACCCAGGATGGGAAATGCGCTGAAAGTAGACTTTAGACTCAACATGATTGCCACCCATTGCCTCTTTTGCAAACAACAGCACCAAAAGGAGAGAGAGAACAAAAAGGAGTGCCCTGCCACAGAGGCGGGGTGGAGTGGGGGTGTGAGGGTGGGAGGGCTACTAGGATCGTTGGTGGTAGAGAATGGGCACTGGTGGAGGGGTGGGTACTCGATCATTGTATAACTGAAACCCAAGCACCAAAATTTGTAAGTCTACAACTGTACCTCACGGTGTTTCACTAATTAAAAAAAAAAAAAAGTCTGCAGGAGTTTGCACCCTGCCATGACCGGAGCTCACTCCTGGCTGAGTTTAGGGATCCTCCTGGCAGTGCCAAGGCATTAGTGTGTGCCAGGGGAATACCTTAGCCGCCTACCTCTCTAGCCTCTTGCCATTTTATACTTGGTGACATGGGAGACACTGGTGCTGGCCTTGCATGCGACCGACTCGGGTTGGATCCCTGGCACCCCATAATGTCCCCCCGAGCACCTCCAGAAGCCACCTCTGGGCACAGAGCCAGGAGGAAAGCCTGAGCACAGGTAGGTGCAGCTGCCAAACCAAACTAAAATAATAAACAAAAAGAAATCTGCAAATAGTACCGTTCCCTTGGTGCTGGGTTTTGCCAACAGCGCTAATTTGTTAAGTTCATGCAATAAGTATTTGTTGGGTAGCTAAAAGTTGCCATTTTAATTTACAAGTACCACACCATCTCTACCTCCCCTCCGTGCTGAGCCTTGGAGCGAGCACGTGGCCTGGGGCCTTGATCTCTAGAGAGCATGCAGTGACCTCTGAGATCCCTTGGGGTGCAGTGAAGGATGGCAGGCTGCAAGGGGGGACCAGGAGAGGCCTGGACATGCCGACTCCCAGGAGGTCAGGGAAGAAGTTTCTGGGGAAAGGAAGAGGTGAGCTGAGTCTTGGAGGTCTTGGGCTTCACATGAGGGTTTTCCCTCTGGAAAAGTCACCACAAGCAGAAAGCAGGCCGAGTGGATGATCTGATGGAGGAACAGCTGCAGGAGGGTGTGGCCCAGTGGCAGCCTTCAGGCGTTTCATATGTGACGTTCTGGGCTAGATTCTAGACCCCTACCCCCACCCCCCACACACACTCCTATTTATTTTGTTGAGTTTTGGACCACACCCGACTGTGCTCAGGGCTTACTCCTGACTCGGTGCTCGGGGGAATCACTCCTGGCGGGGTTCAAGGAACCCTATGCAGTGCCAGGGATCAAACCCAGGTTTGCTGCACACAGGGCAAGTACCCACCCTGGTGTATTATTTTCACCCCCACACACACCCAGTTTAACACCGGTGGAGGAATTTAGGTAAGTGGAGGAGTCTAGGCAAGAAGAGGCTGAGAGAACAATTGCTTGTTTCTGCATCAAAAACATCAAAAACCCAAGGGAGCACCAAGTAAAGGGTGTTGGGAGGATCCTCCCAGGATGGGAGATGTGTGCTGAAAGTAGGCTATAGACCAAACAGGATTGCCACCCAATGTCTCTTTTGGAAACCACAGCACCCAAAAGGAGAGAAAGAACAAAAGGGAATGCCCTGCCACAGAGGCAGGGTGGGATGGGGGGGGTTGGGGGTTGGGAGGGATACTGGGATCCGTGGTGATGGAGAATGGGCACTGTTGGAGGGACTGGTGTTTGATCATTGAACAATTGAAACCCAAGCACAAAAATTTGTGAGTCTATAACTGTACCTCATGGTGTCTCACTAATAAAAATTTAAAAAAAAACCATGTCTGTGAAGGAGGTGGAACTCAGGGGCAGGCAGATGCCGACACATCAAACTGAGTTGTCACTAACTTGGGGAAGCGGGTGGGTAGGTGCTGTTACTTCCCTTTTCAGAAGAGGAAGACCAGAACAGGGTACGTGAAGTGCTGCGCTCCCCAGAGGGCCCAGGGAGGTGCTACTTCTCTCTGGGTCCATCCACGCGGCAATACTGGGTCTTCAGATGCTGCCAGAATTCTCAGTAACCAACCCACCGCACTCCCTCTCCTGCCCAAGTGTTCACAGTCGCCCTCACCCCTCCTATCTAAAGGAATCCCCAAGCACATACAATATGCATACAATATACAAGCTACATACAGTAGACATCAGACTTCTTCTCAAGGGGTTTTTGTATTAATCATCACCTCAAGGGAGATGAAAACACACCTGACTCCCCTCACCCCACAGAGCAGCGCTTATCGGAAGAAGCTAATAGAGATTGGCTTGGTAGCTCCCCCTACCCCACCCCTCCAAAAGCAAAGCAGTTTACCAGGCCCATTTGCACAGGTGGGTCATTCTCAATCGCAGAAACCAAAACTGCATCTGAAGAAAATAAAAAAGTATTAGTCATTGGACAGACTTGGGTGATTCAAACGTCCAGACTGAAGCACCTCCAAAAAAAAAAATAATAACCCACAGAAATGCCAAGCACCATCCTGGCAATTCTGAGGTCTGTGATCCTCAGTGTCACAGTGATTTCCAGCCACATCCCAGCCAGGTGTGTATGTGAGTGCCACAAGAGGGGTGCCTTGCTGCCAACACTGGAACTAAGAGGCTGTGCAGTCATCTCTGCCGGGAAGGCATGACCCTGGGGAGCACATAGTCAGCATGACAAGGGACCCCCTCAGCCAGCAGCACAACCATAACATTTGTTCTTCTTTCTCAAACATTTTATTTGTTAAAGCACCATGGATCGCAAAATTATTCATAGTTGGGAATTTTGACGTACCAAGTTCCATCACCAATCCCACCACTGCTGTCAATTTCCCCCCACTGGTACCCCCAGGTTCTCTCTCCTCCCCCACAACCACAGCCTCAGTCTGCTATTTTGACAGGCACCTTTGAAACCTGATCGTTAAAATTTGGGTCTTGCAATTTCAGTTCTGTTGACTCTGACTTGGATATTAATCTCTATCGTTCTTTGACACCACCCCTCTATCTGAGTCTCCTTGACCCCTGATCCCATTGCTTGTCAGCTATCTCCTCCCCTCCTCCCCTCCACTCTATTTCTTTCCTTCTCCTTCCTACCCCTTGCAGCCAAAGGTGATGTAGGCATCCTCTTAAAGAGGATTGCCTTTCAGCTCAGATACCGAAGGGAACACCAAGTAAAGGGTGTTGGGAGGATCCTCCCAGGACAGGAGATGCATGCTGAAAGTAGACTATAAACTGAACATGATTGCCACTCAATGTCTCTTTTGCAAACCATGGCACCCAAAAGAAGAGAGAGAACAGAGGGGAATGCCCTGCCACAGAGGCAGGGTGGGATGGGGGGCTGGGCGGTGGGAGGGATACTGGGATCCGTGGTGGTGGAGAATGGGCACTGGTGGAGGGATGGGTACTTGATCACTGTATAACTGAAACCCAAGCACAAAAATTTGTAAGTCCACAACTGTACCTCATGGTGTTTCACTAATAAAAATTTAAAAAAAAGAGAATTGCCTTTCCTCATCCAGCTCTCTCTCTCTATATATATATAAGATATAATATATATAAAATAATATATATGTGTGTGTATATATAATGTATATAATATATATGCGTGTGTGTGTGTGTATGTGATATCATTCTGTATTAGTCCTTCTTCCGGCTTACTCCACTTAACATGATATCTTACGTCATTTAACATCAAGTTTTCAGCAAATTGCATGATTATATCATTCATTCCTTACAGCTGTGTAGTATTCCATTGTGTATATATACCACACCTCCGTGATCCACTGATCTGTTGTTAGACATCTAGGTTAATTCCAAATCTTAGCTATTGTACTGAGAGCTGCAATGAATAATCCCAACCACAAATTTTGTGTCTCAGCTAAGAGCGGGCCTCCCAGCGGCACATATGCCAACATCACAACTAAAAGAGTTGTGGTTAGGCAACAGCATAGCCAAGTGTCTCAGCTCCTTTAACCTGATGTACTACCACCAGCGCGTGGAGCTAAAAAATGTGTGTGCATCAACCCGGGGGTCAGTTCAGGGCTAGGGGTCACCTCCCTGCCAGCCTGTTTGAGCCACTTTAACGCCTCTCCCCCTCCCAATCCCCAAGAGAATCTTTTGATGTGACCCCGGTGTCCATGGGACCACAGGGCCTGAGTACCAGCTGGATTGGTTAAAATTGTAGAGAAGTGGCCTGGAATCCTCCAACACACACACACACACACACACACACACACACACACACACACGCACACAATGTGTGAGTATCACAGCCAGGGTTGTTCATGCAAACCCTGATCATTGCAACATTGATCATCAACAACACTAACAAAGGGAAGAAAATGAAACAGGAAGAAAATGTACATTTGGACTTTGGGTGATTCATTACCCGAAGAGGGAAAACTCTGGTGTTAACAATTCCCCCAAGCTGTTAGACGGACACCTGGCCCAGACATCGCCCCTCCCAGTCCTACAGGCTGCCCCACTCTGCTCCTGGCTAGGGACTGGGACATAGATGGGCA